AAAATTAAAACAAAAAAAAAAAAAAAAAAAATAAAAAAAAAAAAAAAAACAAAACTAAAAAAAAGAAAATATAAAATCTGAAGTTGAAAAAAAAAAAATTAAAACAAAAAAAAAAATAAAAATTCAAAAAAAAACTTTAGATAAAGTTAACAAATAGATAAAAACTAACAAAAAAAAAGAATAGATTCATATTAAAACAAAATAAATAATTTTTATATAGACTAATAGATTAATTTAATACTACTTACTTTACTAATAATAGCTTTTTAGTAATTAAAAGCTAAGAATTTGTGTATATACAACTTAAAGCTATTATAAAAAAAACAGTTGCTATAGCAAAGTATATTTAAACATCTGAAAACAACTAAATAAGTCTGAAATAATTAAAAAAAAAAAAAGTATCTAATTGTAAATTTTTATAATTTTTTGCTTTGTAACTTATATAAGTTTTTTCTAAATAAAATAATATCTAAGTTTAAAAAAAATAATTATTAATAAATGAGCGTCACGCGCCTCTAGATGTTAGCTCAGAAGATAAAAAAAAAATTATTTATTTATCATTCAGAAAAAAAAATATTAAATATTGGTTTTGTTACATCTAACCTTGCAAATTTATTGGCTAATTTAGGGGGTAAAATCTCACCCAGAGTGATAAATAAATGTACTCGGTATAGCAAGCCGTTTAACACAATGAAATCTTTTGAGCTTAGAAATAATTCATAATCATCAGAATTTATTAAAAATTCGTTAATCGTAGCAAATCATGATATTCTAATCTTAAATGTAATAAAATTCAGCCATTAAATAGAAACAAGTCTCTGGTGCCATTAAATATATTAACTGGAAGCTAAGTGCAAACGGTAAAAAACAATTTTTTTTCATCCCATTTATTATATCTAATAATTTTAATTGTTTTCTATTGTTGTTTTGGTTTTCCAACTTTCAAAAACGCACCTCCACCAAAATACCTATCATTTGCATCCTTAACCTTCTTTTGCGCTTCATCGGGATTGATCAATTCAATTCCTTGTACAGGAGTGAGAGTTAAAGAAGAGGACAAACCGGATGTTGCACCAGATGAACCCATATATTGATGTCGTTTTGGAGCTTTTGCTTTATGAAATAATTAGTTATATATGAAAATTCGTGCGTAAGTTTATTTAAAACCTAAATAAGAATTAAGTTTAACCAGATAGGAATGTAACCCAACCTTTAACTCTAGGATCAGCCACAGCAGCACGGATTTTTCCGGAACTTTGCCCAATCAAGCCTAATCCCTTGGTTGTATCAAAAGAACCAGTTTCATCTTCAGCGACACCAAATGCCATCCTATTTTGAGCTTTACGAAGTTCGGTTACTGCATGTGCTTCTTTCATTCTGCGTACTCTAAAAGTTAATAATAACCCAATCAGAAATTAGTATTTGCACATGATATAAAAGAGTAATTTGAATAATAAATACTTTTTTCCAGCTCTCCGTTTCTTTGGTCCTTCGTCAGGAACTGGTAAAGGCTTGACTGTCTTGGATGGAGGTGGCTCCTGCAATTTTTCGAGTTTCTTGTCAATCTGTTCTCGTAAAGATCTACCAAATGAGCCTTATCATAGTTAAATTAATTATTAGTGTAATCACCGAGAGTCAATTAAAATTCAAGAAATTCTTAATACCATCCGATGATTCATGCATACGATCCATCCTAGCAGCCAACGTACATCTAAATCAAAGCAATATCGAAATAAATAAAGGCAAATTACGAGACGAAATTTGATAAAAAGAATCGATATACTTTGCGGCGACAATCTTTTGTGCTTTTAATCTAAGATCTGGTGGCGTCCTCTGTATCAATTCGGATTGAAACAAGTATCCAGTGTGTCTCGGTATTGACGCATTGGAAAAGCCTGTGCTCGTCTTTTTTTGAACGCCGATTAACTAAATAAATTAATAAATTTGAACATACATTGCCGCAAATTAGGATCTAATTTTAAACTTTTTTCTACTTGATTGTACAAAAGAACCATACCATAACGTTACATGCAGGCATTTTACAGAGAGCCATCAAACCACCAGCCTGTCCCAACATTTTTGCAGCAGTGGTACTGCCCACAATCGCCGAAAGATTTGGTGCAATTAAAGTCATTCTTGATTCCACATATTCTAATATCTGTTAACAAAAAATAAAAAATAAAAAAAAATCAAACTTATGAATTATGCAAATCGCTAAGGTCAGTGTCTGCTTACTAACCGTGCGTTTGGCACTATCCAATTCTAAAGCCATATCGCATGCATCACTTATGATCTTACTTTCTTCTATTGTCAATGGTAGACCATTTGTTGTAGAACCAGTAACCGTTACCACCATTACGGTCGCGGATGGAAGTATCGATCTCAGATCGACTTTGGTCAAATCCTAAAATGATGGAAAATTATCCGATGGAATTGACGGTCCACACGGTGAGGTTGGTGTCTATTGAAAAAATAAATACCATAATTTCTTGACACTTTAAATAATCTATATTATAAAATATCTAACGAATAAACGCTAACCATTTCATTTCCGATTGCTTTCACGGCACGAGCATAATCTAGCGGATTGAGTACCAACGATTCTAGCTCAGGAAACTTTTTTGCGTAATGATCTCTTATAAACTTTAAACGATAAAAATATAAAATTAATTGATAGAAAGTTACCATGCTATACGATTGAATAAAGATATTATTTCACCTTGTGAACGACTAAAATTTCACTATCGATATCAACAGTTAAATTGTTCGCTTGCACAATAAGTTTATATTCTGGGTCTTCTTCAACAGGACCCATTATTTGGACATGAATTCGGTTTGTATTTTTCAGCTGTTCTATTTTCTAAGTGTCATTTGAAAGCAGTAGCGATCGAATCAAATTATATGTTTATACTTACTAGCAACGAACAATATAGTCAGACTACAAACTAACCATTAGAACATCCTTCATTTGCCTAGATCCAAGTAGTTTAGCAACTTTTCTCACGTCCATTACATTTTTCATTTCGACTTCTGAACTTATTTGCTCCTCTTCAAAATCATCTTCAACCATTTTATCTTCTAACTCTTCCAAATCTCGCATTGTAACATCTTCCGAATCATTATCAATACCATCGGCTTCTTCATCACGAGTAGTAATGAAATCTGGATCTGCGAGTAGTTCGTCGGCTAGTGACATTTTGAAATAAACTAGATTTCCAGAATTAATAGAACTTTTAACCTAGCCATGGCGAAGAAAATTTGAAAAATGTCCGGGTCATGTGATAATTAGCCAATAGTGAATGACATAACGTTACACGATCAGGCGTAACGTTACACGATCAGGAAATAAAAATCAAAAGAAACCCTAACCCAAACGAACTTTAAAAAATTTTATGGGAAGTCTATGGACACGTACAGATCACGTGATTTACACGTACCGGTACGTACAACTTTTCTAAACTTTGAGCGAATATATCCTAAAAACCACTTAATTAAAATCGATGAAAAAATTTCACTTAAATTC